GATCTGCACCACGAACAGACCCTGGCAATGTTGTCTCTCAGGCATTGTCCCGGAGATCTGCACCTCCAACAGACCCAAGCAATGTTGTCTCAGTGGCATTGTCCCGGAGATCTGCACCACGAACAGCCACAGGCAATGTTGTCTCTGTGCCATTGTCCCGCAATCTGCACCTCGAACAGCCACAGGCAATGTTGTTCTGTGGCATTGTCCCGGAGATCTGCACCTCGAACAGCCACAGGCAATGTTGTCTCTGTGGCATTGTCCCGGAGATCTGCACCACGAACAGCCCCAGGCAATGTTGTCTCTGTGACATTGTCCGGAGATATGCACCTTGAACAGACTCAAGCAATGTTGTCTCTGTGGCATTGTCCCGGAGATCTGCACCACGAACAGACTCAGGGAATGTTGTCTCTGTGCCATTGTCCCGGAGATCTGCACCACGAACAGCCACAGGCAATGTTGTCTCTGTGCCATTGTCCCGGAGATCTGCACCTTGAACAGACCCAAGCAATGTTGTCTCTGTGCCATTGTCCCGGAGATCTGCACCACGAACAGACTCAGGGAATGTTGTCTCTGTGCCATTGTCCCGGAGATCTGCACCACGAACAGCCACAGGCAATGTTGTCTCTGTGGCATTGTCCCGGAGATCTGCACCTCGAACAGCCCCAGGCAATGTTGTCTCTGTGGCATTGTTCCGGAGGTCTGCACCTCGAACAGACCCAAGCAATGTTGTCTCTGTGGCATTGTCCCGGAGATCTGCACCACGAACAGACCCAAGCAATGTTGTCTCTGTGGCATTGTCCCGGAGATCTGCACCACGAACAGACTCAGGGAATGTTGTCTCTATGCCATTGTCCCGGAGATCTGCACCTCCAACAGACCCAGGCAATGTTGTCTCTGTGGCGTTGTCCCGGAGATCTGCAACCCGAACAGACCCTGGCGCCTGACCACTTCTGATAATGCTACCTTACCATGGAGAATGTCCCATCACCATGTGTTCCTCGAGGAACGACATTGACATCATTGTCAGTACCAGGTTGTGCTACTTCTGATGATGCTATCATGTCCATGGAGAATGTCCCATCATCTTTTGTTCCTCGAGGAACGACATTAACATCACTGTCATTACCAGGTTGTGCTACTTCTGATGATGCTATCATGTCCATGGAGAATGTCCCATCATCTTTTGTTCCTCGAGAAACGACATTAACATCACTGTCATTACCAGGTTGTGCTACTTCTGATGATGCTATCATGGAGAATGTCATCATCTGACATTAACATCACTGAGAATGATGCTATCATGTCATGGAGAATGTCCTATCACCTTTTGTTCCTTTGGGAACGACATTAACATCACTGTCATTACCAGGTTGTGCTACTTCTGATGATGCCAGGTTGTTCATTGTGAAAGTTTCATCACCATCTGTCTCACTTTCCCTGTCCGGACGTTCGAATCCTCCCTCTGATTCCCCGACATGTCTGAAAATCAATGTTAGAAATATTAAGCTAATCATCTAGTGAAACACAAATTGATAAACAAACTGTTTCATCAAGTTTTGACGGACATCGTTCGGACTGGAAGTTTGATCATAACATGATTTGGTATCTAAGTCACAGACACAGAGACAAACAGACAGACATACATGTACGCGCAAAGAAAAAACAGACACACGTGCGCACATTCACATGCACATACACATGCACATACACTTATCCTCACACGAATAAGCACACCCACACCCTTACACTCATAAATATACGCAAAACATGCACAAATACATTATACTCGGGTAAATATGCATAAACAGAGATAGACACGAGCACGCGAGACAAATATCCGCATATACAATATATATTACGTACGCTTCAGACAGTCCATGTTAGAAGACGGATGTTGGACTGAACAATTTAGTCAGGCATCAGTTACCTCCCATTGATAACTCGCTTCCCAGCTACTTTTACTGGAGACGGCTTTGCGCAGTTTCCATGACAATGAATATGTTTTAATGAATTGGGGTAGGGAAGAGGGGAATACGGAAAAGGTGAATAAGGGCGATGGAAGTAAGGACTGGGGAAGGAAGGACAAGAGAAGTAAGCATAAGTGGAGTCAGGACGAATTTAGTAAGAGAGAGGGGAGTAAAGATACAGTCAGTAAAAGCGATGTAAGTAACGACGACGAGAGTAAGGGACGAGGGCAGTAAGAACTTTGAGGGTAAGGAAAAGGGGAGTACGGACAGGGTAAGTAAGGACGACGGGAGAACGGACCATGGGAGTAAAACGAAAGGGGAAGGGACGAGGGGGTGTAAAGACGATGGGATGAGGGACGAGGGGAGGAAAGACGATGAGATGAGGGCACAAAGGGAGTTAAGACGAAGAGAGAGTGGATGATGGGAATAAAGAAGAGAGGAGTAAGGACGAGGGGAGTAAAGACGAAGAGAGAAGGGACGAGGGAGTAAAGTTGAAGGAGAAGGTACGAGGGGAGTAAAGACGATGGGATGAGGGCACGAAGGGAGTTAAGACGAAGAGAGAGTGGATGATGGAAATAAAAATGAAAGGAGTAAGGACGAGGGTAGAAGACGAAGGGAGAAGGGACGATGGGAGTAAAGATGAAGGGAGAAGGGACAAGGGACTAAAGACGAAGGAGAAGGGACGAGGGAGTAAAGACAAAGGAGAGGGACGACGATGGTAAGAGAGAAAAGACGAAGGGAGAAGGGACGAGGGAGACTAAAGACGAAGGGAGAAGGGACGAGGGGAGTAAAGACAAAGGGAGAAGGGACGAGGGAGAGTAAAGACGAAGGGAGAAATGGACGATGGAGTAAAGACGAAGGGAGAAAGGGACGAGGGGAGTAAAGGGACGACGAGGGGAGAAGGGACGAGGGGAGTAAAGACGATGGGATGAGGGGAAAGACGAGAAGGGACGAGGGGAGTAAAGATGATGGAGAAGGGACGGGCATGATGGGAAGGGGCAGGTAGGTAAGATCAAGAGAACCCCTCACCCCATCATCTTTACTCCCTCCCATTCGTCCCTTCTCCCTCTCCTCGTCTTTACTCCCCTTGTCCCTTCTCCCTCTCGTCCTTGCTCTCCCTCGTCCCTTCTCCCTTCGTCCTTACTTACCCTGTCCTTACTCCCCTTTTCTTTACTCTCCTCGTTCTTATTCCCCACGTCCTTATACTCGCTCGTCCCTTGTCCCTCGTCGTCCTTACTTACATCGCCCTTACTAACTTTATCTTTACTCCCCCGCTGTTCTCGGAGTTCTCTTTGTCCTTCCTTCTCCACTCCTTACTTCCATCGCCCTTACTCACCTTTTCCTACTCCCATTCATTAAAACATATTCATTTTCATAGAAACGTCTCGTGTACAAGTAACTGGGAAGCGAGCTAACAATGGGAGGTAACTGATGCCTGACGAAATTGTTCAGTCCAACATCCGTCTTGTAACATGGAGTGAGTGAGTGAGTTTAGTTTTACGCCGCACTCAGCAATATTCCAGCTATATGGCGGCGGTCTGTAAATAATCGAGTCTGGACCAGACAATCCAGTGATCAACAGCATGAGCATCGATCTGAGCAATTGGGAACCGATGACATGTGTCAACCAAGTCAGCGAGCCTGACCACCCGATCCTGTTAGTCGCCTCTTACGACAAGCATAGTTGCCTTTTGTGGCAAGCATGGGTTGCTGAAGATCAATTCTACCCCGGATCTTCACGGGTCCTGTTTGTAAATAATAAAGCATTGAATAAATATGTTGTGTTTTTGTTTTTTAAAACTACTCATTTAAGCTTTGTTCTTAAAATGTTCATTTACGCAGACTTGGTCTCGTCGCTACATACGAGATCATTATCCGCCTAACGAAGGGGCAAGAACTAGCCCGGAAAGGTCGTTATCGATATATTTGTCTTGTATTATTACACCAACTTCTAAATGCCCTTGAAGAGTCGCTGTATGGCTGAAATAATGCCAATGCGACATAAACTCAACTCAACTCATTTCATATAGCAATGAAAAGAAGGTATTCATTTTAAAGGTGTGTCGACCAAGGACAACTAGACTGTGGTGTATGTCATAGATTAGAATAACTCAAAATAGGTGACAATTATATTACCCCCCTTAATTAATACCAATGAAAAGACCAGTTACCAAACTGAGACCACCTTACTAGGGATCATGAGGACTAAACAGAGCCCTTCCTTCCTGTGTCACTTCCCAGCAGCATTTAGACCGACCCTCACGTTGATCAATGATGGACTTACTAGAGACTGTCATGGGACAAAACCTTAACACAGTTGTAGCTCCCAGAATGGCACCTCCATCAATAACCACAGATCATAATATTTTACTTACTTTACAACACATGCAAGCTATTCAAAATTTATCTAGTAGTTCTCTTTCTTGACGAAGTAAACATTTATAGGAACTTTGATTAAACATTCCCCTTTTAAAATCAACAACAAAATGGACCCATCTATTGATTCATTTAGAACCCTTGAAAATTTGACATTGGGAACCGATGACATGTGTCACCCAATTCAGCGAGCCTGACCACCCGATCCCGTAAGTCGCCTCTTACGACAAGCATAGTCGCCTTTTACAGCAAGCATGGGTTGCTGAAGACCTATTCTACCCCGGATCTTCACTGGTCTGTAACATGGAAGCGTAGGCGATATATATGTATGTGGGGATATTTATCTCGCGTGCTCTTGTCTATCTCTGTATATGCATATTTATACGAGTATAATGTATGTATGTGCGTGCCTGTGTGTATGTATGATTGTGCGTATGTATGTATGTGTATGTATGTTTGTGTGTATGTATGTAAATGTGTAAATCTGTCTGTCTGTCTGTCTGTCTGTCTGTCTGTCTGTGGCTAAGATACCAAAACATGTTATGATCAAACTTCCAGCCCAAACGGTGTCCGTCATAACTTGATGAAACAGTTGGTTTATGAACTTTAGTTTCACTTGATGATTAGGTTAATGTTTCTAACATTGGTTTTCAGACATGTCGAGGAATCAGAGGGAGACAGAATCTGAACGTCATGACAGGGAAAGTGAGACAGATGGTGATGACACTTTCACAATGAACAACTTTGCATCATCAGAAGTAGCACAACCTGGTAATGACAATGATGTTGATGTCGTTCCCCAAGGAACACATGGTGATAGGACATTCTCCATGGACATGATAGCATCATCAGAAGTAGCACAACCTGGTAATGACAATGATGTTGATGTCGTTCCCCAAGGAACACATGGTGATAGGACATTCTCCATGGACATGGTAGCATCATCAGAAGTGGTCGAGCGTCAGGCCAGTGCGGGGAGTGGTTCCATGGCTGTTTCTGAGAGACGAGAAATGCAAGCGGTGTCTACTAAAATCACTGCAGGCAAGTGGAATGTTTATCACAAACAAAATCGAGACAACTGAGATATCGAGTTATCAGAGTTCAACACTCCGTTTTGTTCACCATATTTAATAAACACCTATATCAAATGCATGTGTTTACCAAACACATTTTATAATTTAAAACGTGAAAGGGTGTAGGCACCGTTGGTTCCTCTTATTGTTGTCTCCTTCCCAAAATGACATAATTATCTTACAAGTGTTATACACTTTCAATAAGGCAACGACAAAGCTAGGGAAAGTTCCATTGCAATCTACTCACATGCTGTTTCTACTCTTATTCCAGGGTCTGACTTCAAAGGCATCATAGTACAGGACTCTTCTGATGTCAGCTTATCTGTTGGAGGTCAGAATGATGGAATAATGAAGTCAGGTAATAATGGTGTTTTATTGGAGAAACATTTAATTGTTATGGAGCCAAACTGATGCATCTAGCCGATGTCTGACTCAAAGGGCTGACTTAAGGATTTAAACCTATCTGTTCTCCAAATGTAACATTTCTTTTACAACAGCATAGCACATGGTGATATACCTAAACAGAAAAATAATAGGCAGATGATAACGAGGAGGGAGGCTTTATGCAGAAAACAATGTTGTATATAAATCTAGTTTGTAGTGTGGTGGTAGGATAACTGAGTTATGCAACTCTCATCTTGGTTGACGGTCAGATTAAAATGGGGTCTGTTAGTTTCGCGATGCTCTTGTTTTCCTGTAAAAGGAGTGGGCAACTCAGGTAGTTGACTGGATCAGTTGGCAGGTGGGCTGTTGCTGCGAGATGTCAGGCATACATTATTGATATGATAGATTCCCTAGGTCTTCTTGGTGTATGCTTCCCAGAAGATACATCGGATTTTATTATCTATCAGATTTAGTTATTGGCAAAGAAGATCTTGCTAGAAAAAAATAATGTGGCCACCAGACATAGATTCGATACTGCAGATGAAGCAGGATGTATAGTTTAAAAATTATGGCTATTTTTCTTGTAGATATGCTGCAAATGAACCTGAAGCGAGTCAAAGATATCTTTGAGAAAACTGCTACCTACAGGACAGTGAAGGAACTCTTGGAGAAGTATGGTCATGTGACAATAAGTGGTGCTTCTGGTGAAGGAAAAACGTCCATTGCCTTGATGATAGGAGCAGATCTCAGGAACCAGGGGTATGAACTTGTGTTTGTTGATGATGTGGATAAATTTGAGCTGAAGAATTGTGAACTGCGTGGAAAGAAAGTTTGTCTGATACTGGATGATATATTTGGAACAGTCGGCCTATCAACTGACGTTCCCCATCTTAGGTCCATTCTACAAAATCTCAAACATTATTTGGAAGATGTCAAATCTAGTAAGGAACTGAAAACACATCCAGGCGCTGAATCAGCGATTCTTGTTGTCTTCACCACCAAATCGTACAACCTGGAATGTGGAGTCGCAAAGTTGGATGGCAAAGAATGCTATTTTTCAACGGACCATCGCTTCTTGATTTGACAAAAATGAAATCGTGTCATTACAGTCCCGCGGAAAGAAGGAAAATACTCCGGAAACAACTAAAACACCATAACATCGACCTGGACCTCGATATTGGTAGGCTATGTGAGACAAGAGATTCTTTGTTTGGCTTTCCCTTAATATGTACTCTGTTTTGTGAATTCCTGAGTTTTCAAAAAGAACCTGCACGTTTTTTTCGAGAACCCCTATTTTATCTACGGCGAGAAATTGACATGATCATGGAACGTGGAAATGACCAGTCCGCTGCGCTCATCCTGATGTTGTTGTGTGAAGATCCTCTGAACTTGAGCCAGGTAGAAATGGAATCTAAAAATCATGTTTTAGAAGCTAATCTGCAGGCTGTAAAAGTGTGGTGTCAGTAACGTCACGGACTGCAGTTGCCAAAGCCATCAGGTGTTACAGGGGAACATTTTTCACGGATGGAGATATCCTTGGATTTTCACATCCCACCATCTATGACGCCTGTGCGTGTGCCCTATTCAACATGAATCCATCCTTCGTTCTGAACCACTGCAGTATCAGATTCCTTTATGAGCGTGTACAAGCCCAGCCAGTCCAGTCCACTGCAATAGATAATCACCTCCACATCATCTACGTGTCAGAAGCTTACTATGACACAATTGCCTCCAGGCTGGCCGATGCTGTTGCCAAAGGCAACTACAGTATGTCTATTACACATCCTATTTTGAAAAACAAGCAAATAGTTGACAAAGTGTTCCAGATGCTCAAACTGAGGAAATCAAATACAATAAAGCGGTTGCTGCTCAATACGAAGGACACACAAAGGCTTGCCATGTTACATGCAAAGGAAGAAGAGAAGCACTTACTGTACTGGGCAGTTCATGCACATAGTCTGTACTTGGTTGAGAAAATCCTTGATGTTGGATACCGTTTTTCAGACGAAGAGATCAAGGAAGCATTCAAGGCCTGTGCTTCCTGTAGGAACGAAGCAGTGTTGGTGTTGTTATCTTCCAAATATAAGTCACTGCTTCATCAAAGTGTGCTCAACAAAGCTCTAGTGACTGCCACAGAAAATAATTACAAAGACGTTGCATTGGCCTTACTTAACGCAGGAGCTGATATCTATGAATCAAAAAATGATGTTGGTGAAAATGTCTTTCAAATTGCTAGGATGAAGGAGTTCCGTCTACTTGGAAGATAATTTTTGGGATTTATTACCAAAGTATTAAATATCAAACATCTGACTGGAGACTTCGACTTTCAGAGAGCAGCTTATTCCAGCCTTGTGTTACAGCTGCAGTGTAGGGGATGTAAGACTTTCACAATTCTTCCTTCCAGTCACTGACATTAATGCAAGATATCCTATGGGCAAAACTCTCCCATTCTTTCACATTAATTGTCTGGGACACGTTGGTCTTTCGCCAGTGATGGAAGCAGCTTTGCATGGGAAGAAGGATGTTGTCGACCTGATCGTGTCAAAGGGAGCTGATCTCACACTAAGAGATGACAAACATAACACCCTCCTTCATGTGGCATGTAAGGGTGGAAATAGTCGCATTGTAGAAGATCTGCTTCCACTGTTTGACATCAATTGTCGGGGAAATGTGGGTCGGTCACCTTTGATGAGAGCAGCTGTCCATGGGAAGAAGGATGTTTTCGGCCTGCTCGTGTCAAAGGGAGCTGATCTCACACTAAGAGATGACAAAAATAACACCCTCCTTCATGTGGCATGTCGAGGTGGAAATAGTGACATTGTAGAAGATCTGCTTCCACTGTTTCACATCAATTGTCGGGGAAACGTGGGTTGGACACCTTTGATGGCAGCAGCTTTGTGTGGGAAGAAGGATGTTTTCGGCCTGCTCGTGTCAAAGGGAGCTGATCTTACACTAAGAGATGACAACAATGACACCCTCCTTCATCTAGCATGTGTAGGTGGAAATAGTCGCATTGTAGAAGATCTGCTTCCACTGTTTGACATCAATTGTCGGGGAGATGAGGGTTGGACACCTTTGATGGCAGCAGCTTGGTGTGGGAAGAAGAATGTTGTCGACCTGCTCGTGTCAAAGGGAGCTGATCTCACACTAAGAGCTGACTGCAGTAGAAATGCCCTTCATCTAGCATGTGTAGGTGGAAATAGTCCCATTGTAGAAGATCTGCTTCCACTGTTTGACATCAATTGTCGGGGAGAAGAGGGTTGGACACCTTTGATGGTAGCAGCTTTTTTGGGAAGAAGGATGTTGTCGACTTGCTCGCGTCAAAGGGAGCTGATCTCACACTAAGAGATGACAAAATAACACCCTCCTGCATGTGGCATGTCGAGGTGGAAAGGTCTCATTGCAGAAGATCTGCTTCCACTGTTTGACATCAATTGTCGGGGAGAAAAGGGCTGGACACCTTTGACGGCAGCAGCTTTTCTTGGGAAGAAGGATGTTGTCGACCTGCTCGTGTCAAAGGGAGCTGATCTCACACTAAAAGATGACTGTAGTAGAAATGCCCTTCATCATGGGCATGTCAGGGTGGAAATAGTGGCATTATAGAAGATCTGCTTCCACTGTTTGACATTAATTGTCGGGGAAAGTGGGTTTGACACCCTTTGATGGCAGCAGCTTTGTGCGGGAATAAGGATGTTGTCGACCTGCTCGTGTCAAAGGGAGCTGATCTCACACTAAAAGATGACTGCAGTAGAAATGCCCTTCATCTGGCATGTCAGGGTGGAAATAGTGGCATTATAGAAGATCTGCTTCCACTGTTTGACATTAATTGTCGGGAAAAGTGGGTTTGACACCTTTGATGGCAGCAGCTTGGTGTGGGAAGAAGGATGTTGTCGACCTGCTCGTGTCAAAGGGAGCTGATCTCACACTAAAAAGATGACTGCAGTAGAAATGCCCTTCATCTGGCATGTCAGGGTGGAAATATTGGCATTGTAGAAGATTTGCTTCCACTGTTTGACATCAATTGCCGGGCACAGTCGGATCTTATACCAGTGATGATAGCAGCTATCTTTGGCAAGAGAGATGTTTTCGATCTCCTCAAGACAAAGGGAGCTGATCTTACACTAAGAGATGACAACAATGACACCCTCCTTCATCTAGCATGTGTAGGTGGAAATAGTCGCATTGTAGAAGATCTGCTTCCACTGTTTCACATCAATTGTCGGGGAGAAGAGGGTTGGACACCTTTGATGGCAGCAGCTTTTCTTGGGAGAAGGATGTTGTCGACCTGCTCGTGTCAAAGGGAGCTGATCTCACACTAAGAGAAGACAACAATAACACCCTCCTTCATGTGGCATGTCGAGGTGGAAATAGTCCCAT